CCTACCTGCTATACTGTCGCTCCATACCCTGCTTTAGTTTTGTGATTCTCATTTCTTATTAGACAGCTGAGAGTTAAATGTAATTGTTCATTATATCCACTCTAATGTACTTGAATAAGATTTATTTTAAAAACAATCCTGATTTTTTACTACATTTCTCTCAGTGTTATATTTACATATTTTTCAATTTGTCACATCCATATCGTATTCAGAGTCCATCACTATAACTTTGATACTATTCATCTATTAACTAACTGCAACTGAAATTATTTTGTGAACCAGTTGGAAGATATTCCAATAAAGCTTTTCTTACAGCAGTAAGGGCATTTGGTCTACTTACAGTCCTGACTATTGGTGTAAGAGACTGCACAGTAGATGGTTCACTAGGAAAGTGTGTGTGGATTTAGTTTTATTTCCTGGAGCTACTTTTAGCTATTTTATGCCAAAATCTTTTTTTAAAAAAAATTGATTTTTAGATTGATACTTAATTTTTTAGAATTGCTTTGAGTACTGGTAGCAAATATATTCGATATAAAACTGTAGCATTACTGAATAAGGCCTCCATTTTATATTATGTCTTCTGTGTACATTTTCTTTTCTTTCATTTCTGCTTTCTGGGCCACACATTGGCGTTGCTCCAGACTTACTCCTGGTTCTGCACCTAGGGATCATTCCTGGCAGACTCGGGGACCATATGTGGTGCTGGGCATTGAACCGGGTGTGACTGTTCAAGGCAAGCTCCCTACTTGCTGTGCCATTGTTCTGGTCCTCTGTACATTTTCTAGTGGCTAATGTTAATAAATATGGGAGACTACATGGACCAGTTTTCAGTGCGACATTTACCTCAAAATTTATCTTGCTTCTCATATTGTGTTTATAAATATAAATCCATGAAAATGTTAATGTGGCACATGAGAAAAACTGGGGTCATATTTTCAATTGCTGGGTTGCTCACAGTTAAATGAGTATCTTTGGACTTCTCAGAACCTTTCGTATGAGTTATGCATTAGAAATATTTCAGAGTTGGTCATAACTTTTTGGAGTGTTTAAACATAGAACATTCATATCTTGTGTTCCATGGAATGTATTTTGGGAAATATAAGCATTTTATGAGTATGATATTTGTATGAATTGTTGTAGAAGTAGTGTGTCTGACTTTCATGAGTACCATCTAGTTTATTTGAAAAAGTATTAACTTTTTAACAGTTTATTACATGGCACAATCAATTTGAACTGCTTTACAGATCTTTTACAGAAGAGCTTTAAGATTTCAGATACAGCTCTTTGCTGCTGTTTCTGCAACTTTTCTCTAAAATGAAATTTATCTACTTTTAAAAATTTTTTTATTTTATTTTTTTAATAATTTATTTTTTAAATAATTTATTTTACTTTTTTTTTAAAAGCATCTTTAACAGATGAGAGATGAAATCTCTTGATTTTCTAAAATTTCACTTTGGTCTGATTTTCTTTACTGGACTATAAAACTAATGTTAAATTCTTTTCACAGCTGCTTTGCATTCAAAGCCTAAAATTGACCTAAATCAAGCTCATACTCTCTCACTCCATTCATTCCTCCTATCTCAGATGTCCCTTTTGGTTTCTCATCCTGACCATTGGCACTATCGTTTTCTTTTTCTTTTACTTTTTTTTTTTTTGTATTCACTCAAACCAAAAACCCAGGAGATTCAAAGCCCTACTTTATCTCCTTCATTAGGATTTCTCAACCATGACACCATTGACATTTATGGCTGGATAACTCTTTGTTTTGGAAGGTTGGCCTGTCGCATTACAAATGTGTAGCAACATCCCTGGCTTCTAGCCAGTAGATGCCAATTACTAACTCCCTCAGTTATGAATATTATATTTCCAGCCTTTGTGAAATGTCCCCGAGGGAACAGATCATCCCTTAGAGTTGGTGCTCTGCATGCAGTCTATTAATGTTATTGATTTGACTTTTTAGATTGACCTTTATCCTCCTTACAACATCTTCTACTTCCTAACCTCCTATGTCTTTTTACTTTTTTTTTTTTATTGTATTTGGATTGTTGTCCCCAAAATGTTACGTCTAAAACCGATATTTTTTTGGGTTATGTTTTTAGGACCATACCCAGCAGTGCTCAGGGGCTGCACCAGCTGGGCCTCTGGTGGTGGTCTGAGGACCATGCAGTACAAGGGATTAAACCAGGCAGTGCCAAAGGATTGAACCTGGGCCTCTTCCATGCAAATCATGTGTTGTGTTCTATCCCACTGAGTTCTCTCTCTTGCCTCTTGGATTCTTTAGTAGAAGTCTGACTAGCCCCCAATGGTGTTTCCTTTTGATGTACCACCTTCAGGGCTGCCAAATCCATGATTCTAGATTGCTCTTCCTGAAATGAATTTCTCAATAGCTTTCAGCAGTGATGCTCTTGATGAACTGATAATCTCTTTATCTCCTCTATCTTAGAAGAGTGAGGATTTGTACAAATATTTTACAAAATTGGCTTGTAAGATAGCAAATTCAGAAGGGAATTAAATTGTGTTTGGGATTTGTTGGGTTAATTGTGCACTTAAGTAAATTGTATGAATTACTATGATGTGGATTTATTTACTGAGTTTCATGGAATTTCCCTTGAATGGGGATCTATTGATTGGTCATGTAAGAATTATAGAATCAATATAATTTTCTTAACTATTTTAGCTTGTTTTTTTTTTTGTTTTGGGTCAATACCTGGCTGTGCTTGGGGACTACTTCCAACTAGGTGCATATGGGGACCCAGATATGCTTTGCTCATTTTCTAGTTTCTTTTTTTTAATACTCTTTTTCAAAATTAAACGTTGTGAGTGTGTGTGTGTGTGTGTGTGTGTGTGTGTGTATTTTGGGGCCATACTAAGTTGTGCTTAGGGGATGTTTCTGGCTCTATGCTCAAGAATGGGGTGTTTCAGTTGGGGAACCATATGCAGTGGTAGGTTCAAACCAGGGTTGACTGCATTGCCTTTTCCTCTACAGCCCTTAATTTTTAATTCTTTACAATTTAAAAATTAAGTTTGAACATCAAATTATACGAGCTACGATTATCTTTAGGATCTTGAACTTTTAGGAAAGAAAACTTGAAAGAAATAAGCTTTATTTGAACTAAATAGAAGCCTGGAAAATGATGATTTCCAAATATTTTTTACCCAGAATTTGGAAACTATATTATAATGCTTTTATTGTATACATTTTGTTCTTTCAAGGCTACAAAACATCAGTAATGATTTTATTTTATCTATATATTCTTTAATAGCTTTGGGACATGAAATTATACCTCTGAAAAATTTCTGCTGTCTTTTAAGACTCTAATTTAGCTGAATAAAAGATACTGTGATGGTTAGCTATTTTGTTTTCAGTATAGTAGAGATGATATTGAATGTAAATGTTCTCAGTAAATCATTTTATTATTGCTAGAATAATATAGTTTAAAATAGGTAAAAGCTGAGGTTGGAGTGATAGTATAGTTTGAAGGGCACTTGGCTTTCATGCACCTGACCCTGGTTCAGTCCCCGGCACCTCTATCCCTTGAACACAGAGCCAGGAGTAAGTCTTGAGGACAACTGGGCATGGTTCCAAAAACAAAAACAAAACAACTAAAAGTTTATGAATTTTACAACTTCCCTGTGTTGTGATGGCTAGGGATTGCACACTCAGTTGGTAGTGTCCGTCACCAGGGCATGGGGATGGGGGCGATGGATGGGGGAGGTGGGATTACTTACTTCCCAGTTGCAGTACTGCTGTGGTTGCATTGTTCATGGTTTTAGTTGTGTTGCTTGCTGGAGATTGCACACTCTAGCTGTTGTGCTTACACACCCCTGGCTGTGATGTGTCAGGGGTTAGATATTCTCTTGCAGTGGTAAGGCTCCCAGGTGGTAGTTACTGGGGCCATGTGGGTGATACCGGGGACAAACTTAATTTTGCAAGGCAGGCATTTTTGCTTCTGAATTATCCCCAGACTCCAAAATGGACTTTGAATAAAAACATGTAGCCTGGGCCGAAGTTACTACAACAGGTAGGGTGCATGGCTTGTACCCTAGGACTCCATATGGTCCCTTCAACACTGCCAGAAATGGTCCTTAAGCACAGAACCAGGGGTAAGCCCTTTTAGCACTGCTAGGTGTGGTCTAAATACCAAATCAAAATAAAACTTGTAACCTAATGAGTATAAAACATGTAATGCTTGCCTTTTAACAGTGTGCACTCGATTCTCACGTTTTTGTTGTGCTTATGTGTTGTATAGGCACCACAAACGTTGTATTAATGAATATTGAACCATTGTCCCTAAGGGAGATATAGGGTTAGATTTCTATGAGCATTTATTAACCAGTCAGTACAAAACCTGTTTCATGTGTTTCTGTTTGAAGATTCTTTGTTTAATATACATTGTTGATTGATTGCTATTGAATTATGGCAAATATTGTAACTCATCCCTGAACCAAGCTACTAAGTCACATATTTGGATTGACCCTTGTGCTCCTGCAAGTAAAATATGTACTCCCACCCTTTGAATCTCTCTCCCCAATCCTTGAGTTCCAGTTTAAACAGTAAAAGCACCAACAAAAAGTACCCCAAAACTATGCAAAAAATAGACTAAATAGATAGGAAAAAGAATACTTCTTTGAAGTATGAGAGCTGAAACAAGACGGCAAAGCATTGATTTCATTAGCTTCAGGGAGAAACAGGCATAACAGGTAAAAAAAATTTTTTGTACTGTGAGGGACCAAAAATGGACATAAGTACTGTTGGTTACAAATAAATATGAGTTGAGTAGGTAAATTGACAAAAACAGACTTTTTAGATGAATATCAACTACTAGTTTCAAAGAAACTTGTGACCAAATACTTTGCATATTCTCATTTGAAAGTAAGATACTCTTATTTAAGGAGACCTTTTGACTTTGAGATACGTGGCATCTCGTTATAGTATTCATGTTCTGTTGTCCAGTAAAGTTAGCTGCTTTCACTCCATCATTTTATTTTATATTTTACAGGGAACAACCCATCTTCAGCACTAGAGCTCATGTCTTCCAGATTGACCCAAACACAAAGAAGAACTGGGTACCCACCAGCAAGCATGCTGTTACTGTGTCTTATTTCTATGACAGCACAAGAAATGTGTATCGGATAATAAGTTTAGATGGCTCAAAGGTAAGTATATGGCAAAAGATTTTGCTACTTTTTCCCCATATAGCATTTTGGTTTTGTTGATAATTTTTATCTTCATTAAAATGAAATAATTTTTGAGTTTTTAAAATTTTTTTAATGGATATGTGTGTGTGTGTATATATATATATACATATATGTTTGTTTGTTCTGTTTTCTGCATGGTCAGGGTTTACATATACAAAGTATGTATTTAACCACTGAGCTACAGCCTACATCCTCAGCTTTTCTTAAAAGAGATTTTTTTTTTTGATAATTATAACACATGGCCAAGTGCAACAGAACCTGAGAACTGGTTTACAAAACTGAGCTTACCATGGTGGGAGATAAGTTGTGGGGAAGGAACACTGCTGGAAGGTGTGATGGTAGAACACCGTATGCATGGAACCGTCTTATTAACAGTAGTGTAAATAACTATGCCTAATTTAAAAAAAGAATAATTCTTACACTAATTTTCCATCAGTTTATTTGGATTTAGTTCCTTATTTATATCTAGCTACTGTAGAAAATATTCTACAAAATTGAAGTTTAGTTTATTTGTTATATATTTATTGCATATATCTGCTATATGTAAGGCCCTCTGCTAGTTGCTAGGAGTATGGTAGTAAATGAAATGAACATGCTTTCTACCATATATTCTTAGTACAGAACTAAAATTTTTCCCAGATGAACTTAATGTATACTAGCAAGCAATTTAAAAATCTCTTTAAGTTTGTGAATGTCTCTTAAGACATTTTGTCACTGTCACTATTAAACCTGACACCCTGTGTTTTTGAAGCAGCAAAGGACAAGACTTTAGTGTCAGTTAATTAATTAATTTTTTTGATTGAGAAACAAAGAGCACAAAGTGGCTGGGTTCAAACCTCAGTTCACTCGTACTAAATTCTGGGCTCTGGGCGCAATACTTCTCTGAGCCTCATTGTTCTCACTTAGTTTGTAGGGATTAAGTGAATTAATAGCTGCAGAAACCCGTAGCTCAGCACCTTACAAATAGAATATCCTTTAAAAGAGGGCAAATTTTTATTTTTTCTTAAGTGAATTTTTGAATAACATGTATAAAGAAATAGCAAAAATCAGATTCTGGGTTTGAACTGTGTAGAAAGAGGAGGCGAGGCTCCATTTTCCTTCAGATTCCTAAAACCATGAGGCCTTTTCGCACCCAGAGGTTTTAGCAGTTTGGTGTAGGGGTTAAGAGCTAGACTATCTTGCTGCATTTTGGTTTATTATTACTATCATAGGTTAGGGTAAAATACTTAAGTGTCTTGGGGCCAGAGCAATAGTACAGCGGGTAGGGTGTTTGCCTTGACGCGGCCAACCCAGGTTTGGTCCCTGGCACCCTCTAAGGTCCCCTAAGCACCACCAGGAGTGATTTCTGAGTGCAGAGCCACAAGTAACTTCTGAGCATCGCTAGGTGTGACCCAAAAAGCAAATAAAATAAAATACTAAAGTGTCTTTATGCCTCATCTTTATTATCTGTAAGAAGGAACTAATAAAAAACATACCTGTATCATAACCTGATGGGGTTGGTATGAAGAATTAAATTGATTTAGTCGCTATAAAATAAGTGCTATTATTACTTTTATTGATATTATTAGGTTCTTGTTTACTGGTTTGGGGGAATGAACTGTTACTAATTTATTGTATAATTTTCAGTTTGTTTATCCTTTGCTCATTTCTTATATAACAAGATATTGGGGGCCATATATATGGCAACCCCAGGCGCCATTTATCTTATAAATAAGACTGTTTTATGTGACTAACATATATTTATTTGAATAATGATCCTCTTTGCATTTTTGCCTGAAGGATTTTAAATAGCTTGGGATTTATTGATTTCTTTGGGTTTGTTTGTTTTATATTTGGGCTATACCCAGCACCAGCAGTGCTCAAGGCTTAGACTTAATCCTGGGTCTGGCTCAGGGATCACCATGATTCCCAGCATCACATAATTCCTCCCTGGTGACCTAGGGAGGAATTGTGTGATGCTGGGAATCAACCCAGGTGGGCCACATGCAAGGCAAGCACCCTACCTGCTGTACAATCACTCTAGCCCATATGGTACTTTAATGTAGAATAATTTTATTTTGTAACTGTTTAGTGAAAGTTCAGATACTATTATAATCTCAGAGTGTAGAATGTCTATTTATTTTCCCTGACTGGAACCTTCAGTCCTCTATAATCTGTTGTCCCTTAGCCCTTAGCCACAGATAAATTCAGTATTTTGGAGGTGGGAAGTTGGGAGGTTTCTAAGCAGTGTTTAGGGCCCTGGGGCACATCCTGGTGTTCAGAACTAGGACCAAAAAGGTGTGGTGGTGCTGGGAACTGCCAGGATGTGTGCTGTTTGGGATTAAACCAGGGTCAGGCTCTCTTATCCCTCTACTGTCTAATCCTAAAGCCCATCTGTCCAGTCTCAGGATGCAGTTTTTAAGGAGAGTTTAATGGTATTTAAAAGTAAATTCCAATTGAAGTTGTCCCTTGTCCCATGTGATTACATAATCTTTATATGTTCTTCCTTCTGAAGCAGTAAGAAATATTGCTTTTGGTTTTTCCATTTTTAAATATACTTTGCAGCTTATAATTATTACTATGTTAAATAACTCATGGAATAACTCATGAAAAAGACTTTGTTTCATTTTAACTGAATCACTGTGAGATACACAGTTACAAATTTCTTTTAACAAAATCTTTCCTTTGTTGTGGAGTTATATTTTCTATCACATTTTCTATTTTCCAGTTACTTTTTTAAACCTTTGCAGGTTTATTTGGTGTGACTAAACCAGGTGTTTTTCCCTCCTCTTCCCACTTCCTGCTATGTTATAGCTTTGATCTGAAAGTGTCAGTTTGTTCATTTACCGTGCATGCAAAGTCTGCTCAAAGTTTTTCTAATCATGCTGCAGAGACACTGGCCAAAGGCCAGGATCAGGGCATTATGTGACCATTGATGATGTAGCATTTCACCTCTTTCCTTGCTAGGTCAATATTTTGCAAGAGGTTGAGAGATATTTCTTTAAAAGAATTAAAGTTTTTCTTTAAAAATTGATTTGTAGGGCGCTGGAGTGATACCACAGCGGGTAGGGCGTTTGCCTTGCACGTGGCCAACCCAGGTTCGATTCCCAGCATCCCATATGGTCCCCTGAACACCACCAGAAGTAATTCCTGAGTGCAGAACCAGGAGTAACCCCTGAGCATCGCCAGGTGTGACCCAAAAAGAAAAAAAAAATAGATTTGTAATAGCTTTCTATTAAAAGAATTTTAATAAATGTTTTTAATTGTGGAATTGATCATTCATTGTTTTAAAGTTTTTCTATAGTGATCAAGAAGCAAGTGCAGAGGTAAAAATGATTCAGAATGAGGATTAAAATGGCACTCTTAAAATTTAAAACCCTGGGCCAGAGCTGGAGCACATGCTTTGTATATAGAAATACTGAGTTTTATTCCTGGCACCAGTGGTCCTTTGAGTACCACTGGGAGTGACACCTAAACATTGAGCAGTATCTCCTAGCCACTGCTAGTTGTGACCCCCAAACAAAACCTCCCCTTCCAAAGCTTAAGTTGATGTGAAATAGCTAAAACAGATCAGTGACCAACAGAATGTGGGCTCGTTATTTTACATGCTCAAAACACTTATTGATAGATTATAACATTGTTTGAGAATAGCAGCATGTAAAATTCCTCCTCTCCTTGCAAACACTCATCCCATCCCAGATGTCTCCTTCCTAGACACTAGAACTTAAGCAATATCTACCAGTCCTTGTTTTTTGGTCTTCCAGTCTCTATCACGGCCTGATCTCACAGTCGTCCCAGCACTTAGACTCTCTGTCATTACTTTGGGCAGTTATTTACCTGCTTGTTCATTGTTCACTCTCCTACCTCTAGAATCTAGTTCACAATCGCTTTGCTTTCATCGTTATATCTCAAGTTTCTAGAATTGTGCTTAATAAATGTCACAGGTATTAAAATATCGAATAAGTGAGTGATTTACTTCCACTTGTTAATAAGTTATTCTGTACTTAATCTTTGATTTCATGACAGTCCCTCAAGTTAGGACAGTTATTCCTGCCTCTCACATGCTATGAATATGGGCTGCAAAAAAGCAGGTTTGGAAGTGAAGGAGGTATATGTGCACAGAAATTTTTTCATAGGTAAAAATACTTGATTGAGGAAAGGCTCTCATATAACAATAGCACGTCTGTGAGATAAAATAGGGGCTGCTTTTACTGTTGAGTAGGATAAGTGTCACTCTTTCATTGTAACTTAATCAATATGTGCATGGCTCACAAATGGTCGCATTTCTATTGTTGTTCACATGGTAAATAGATTTATCTTTGTTCTAAAAATTATTGATTTTCATTCCACAAGTAATTGCATATGGATTTGATAGCATTTATTCTTTATCATTGTCAGTATTATGTTTTTTGGAAGGATGTTCTCATGAAGGGCTGGAGCAATAGCACAGCGGGGTAGGGTGTTTGCCTTGCACGTGGTCGACCTGGGGTCGATTTCTTCGTCTCTCTCGGAGAGCAAGCTACTGAGAGTACCCTGCCCGCATGGCAGAGTCTGGCAAGCTCTCCATGGCATGGTTTATTCAATATGCCAAAAAAAGTAACAGCAAATCTCATAATGGAGACGTTACTGGTGCCCGCTCGAGCAAATTGATGAACAACGGGAGGACAGTGCTACAGTGCTACAGTTCTCATGTGTTCAGGAAGCCCGGGGCACCTCCTGGCGGTTCTTGGCTACGTCAGCCTGGTTAGCGATTTAGTTCAAGGGCCTGAGCCTGAGAATGTGGTGCTGGGGGTTAGCTAGGCCACTCTGGATGGGGCTGGGGAGCACATCCAGCAGTGTTTGGGCACCTGGAGAGCTGCACCCAACCATGTTGAGACGACCCTGTGGTGCCAGGGATCAAACCAGGTCAGCCACCAGCCATGCTGCACTTTAAACCCCTGAACTATCTCTCTGGCCACTAACCACATGTTTGATACACTGTTCAGACTATATTTATAGTTCTGTTAACTACTGTATTTCCATACCGCCACTTGTAATGTTCTGAACCCTCTGTAACTGTCTATTTATATTATGGCTCATTAGGAGTTCTAGGTTTTCTTGTAGCCAGAAGATCCTGTGTTCAAATATCTGTTGCTAATTTGGGGGTAGCTACTCATATTTATTTTATTTTGCAGGCAATAATTAATAGCACCATCACCCCAAACATGACATTTACAAAAACATCTCAAAAGTTTGGCCAGTGGGCCGATAGTCGGGCCAACACAGTTTATGGACTGGGATTCTCCTCTGAGCATCACCTTTCAAAAGTAAGTTAAATCATGTGTTCTAAGTGGAAATCCTCATCTTCAGGTGAAGTAGCTTAAATGTGTATTAGTAAATGGAGGATATAAAATATAGAGTTAATTTGTTTAATAATCTCAGAATACCTATAGTAACTTTTAGGCAAGAAGTGAGAGATCATGTAACCATTGCCAATTTAAACACTATTTGACACATTAAAATCATTTGCCTTTGTTTGAGAATGGGTTTTATGGCTGACAGAGTGTAAGATAAGAAACAAAGGGTGGGAGGCGCCAGAGTGGTCATACAGCAGGTAGGGTACTTGCCTTTCAGCAGGTTCCATCCTTGGCATCCCATATGGTCCCTTGAGCTTGCTGGGAGTGATCTCTGAGCACAGAGCCAGGAGAGTGATTCCTGAGCACAGAGCCAGGAGTTAGCGCTTAGAACAGCCAGGTGTGTCCCATTCAAGTCAAAAAAAAGAAACAAAAAAAAGCAAACAACAAAAAAGACAAAAGGTGGGTAAGTCAAATATTATTTCTAGGGGTGCATAGGTGAAAATCTCATACATTTCACACCTGGTCAGTCTTTAGGTACAATGGGAAGGGGGGCACAGGAAATAAGGTTGAGAGGGTGATATTCAACCCTGTTTGAAAAAAGGTTTAGAAACTGATCTACAGGAAAGGTAGACCAGAGTTTCTTCTCAATTGGGAATACCCAAGCTTGTGGTAATACAGATTTCAACTTTTTGACAATGACAGAAGAACATACAGGTTACTATATTTAGGGAAATACGTGCTTTGGTGAGAATTACTCTGAGTTCCTGATGCAGTATGGAGTGAAATCCAGGACACATTGTAAATTCTGAAAATAATACTGACCAAGTGAAAAGCCAATAAAAGAGAGAACATATACAGGCCAAATACATGTATTGCCCTAGCCGATAGCAGAAGCATTGTGCTTCTCATACCAGTGGCATCTTAAGTTCTTGTGGATGTCACACAGAAAGACTGTATAAAGTCAGGCTCAGGAAACCAAGATGATCAGGGAATGGGTATTAATTTGATATGCTTTTGTTTTGTTTCAGTTTTCAATATTTGCACCATACTGTATAGTTCTTGAGAGCTATAGTTTTTTTGACATTATGCTCACCAGATCCAAAGATTTATGCTGGAAGCTATTCTGTTTTTGTTGTGTTTTGTTGGGGGGGGGGTTATACCTGGAGGTACGCAGGGGTTACTCCTGCCTCTGTACTCAGGGATCACTCCTGGCTTGACTTGGGGAGAATATATGTGATGCCAGGAATTGAGCCTGGGTCTGCCTTGTTAAAAGGATAACTGTATATTTGAAGCCCTTTAAATGTAATTTTTGGTGTACACAGAATCTGATGGCTTGAAAGTAAATTCAGGTGAAAAATAATCAGGGTTTTGTAGGTCCATACTGTTCATATATAATCCTTAACTTATTTATCATAGAAGCGATTCTGATTTTTAAAATAACTAATTTTTAAAAATTATAAGCTTCTATTAATATATCTTGACTTGAGGTGATAATTAGTAATTGAAATAATTATTTCCTTTTATTTTTAGTTTTAGACATTTCTTAAAACTGTCTTTCAACTATTTTTGTTTTCTTTTGATAGTAATTATAGTTTGAAGATCAATTTTAACACTATTTTAACTTTTGCTTTGGTTATTTGGTAAGTCATGTATGATGATTAAAACAAACCTGTATTACCTCATTTGTTTTTTTTACATCAATCTTATTTTTTCATATATTTTGAAGTGTGATAAGGGTAGGAGTTTCAGATTCCAAGTATTTTGCCCTAACAGGGACTTAGGAATTTGTAAACATGACTCCTCCTTAAATAAGCCCCTCGGGAATATATATTTATTCTAATACTTTTGTTGTTCATTGCTTTGCGCTTTTTTGAGCTTTTGTTGGAACTTCTGAAAATTCTATTAAAGCTAATTAAAAAAATTATATTTCACTCATTGAATTTCTTAACAATGCAGGAATTATATTATAGATTAATTCCTTAAACTTGCATGAAATTATTGTTGAGTAATTTTGTTTGTAAATTAAATTTTTCATTATGTTTTTCAGGTTCTGGGTAGCTAATATAGTTAAGTAATAGTTTATTAAATTCTGTTAATTCTACTATCTCCTCTCATGTGATTTTTTTTAAAGGAATGCCTTATATTTCAAAAATTTATCCCTTTTAAAATTAGCATATGCTTTTTGTCTTACTGGTAGTGTAAACCATTTTTGCAGGTGGCTCTCTGAGACTCACAGCTTGGAGATATATTTAATTCATGGGACTACAGGCACTGGGGATTACCCAGCTCCCCTGATAGTACTTAGGGGCCTCTCAGGCCATGCCTTGTGGTTGCTCAGGGACCTCCATGACTGCACCTTACAATGCTAGGGGCCTCCTGGATTGCACTTGAGAATGGCTGGAATACTGTGTGGTGCCAGGGATCGAACTGGATTTTGCTGCATGCAAGGCATACTATCTTTCCAGCCCTGAAGTCCAGTATTTTAAAGGTAGATTGACAATCATAAAATAACCTCTTAGCTCTCAGAGCGTAGTATCATTTATTTATTCACTACATTTGAGCTTATAAAATGAGTCTCTAGAATGTTTTGGTTCAAAAATAACAAGATTTTGTCTTATTTTCCAAGCTATGTTGAAGTCTAATTGTTGTGCGTTATAGATTGTAGGGGACCTAACTAGTTATGTAGATAAATAAAATAAGATATACATATATGTAATGTAATAAATATTAAATATTCTTGCTTATTTTGTCATTAAAATCCTGCATTGAATCTAAGCAGTTAAAGGGCCTGGAAAAGTCACTGAACACAAGTCTAGGCAAGGACCTCTCCCATGTGAGGGAGAGTATCAGCACTGGAAGGAAAAGTATGGTCTCCTAAGGCTGGTCCATGAGGAGGATTCCAACTGTGCTGTTTTGTTCCAGGGCTTCCCAAGTTGTAGTTGGTTATCATGGAAACCTAAGCCCATGGAAATTAGCAATACCAATGAGAAGCCATTGTTAATAGTATTGTAAGCCCAAAATTAAAAAATATATATAAAGAAAATTAGCAGTTGTAGGTCTTTATGAAGTTAAGAAGGATTTGAAACTTAGCTACTTTGAAATGCTAAAAAAAATAGTTGCTATATTTAAATTACATGAAAGGAAATTGAGTTAAAAAAAATTTAATTCTGGGGGCCAGAGCAATTGTACAACAGGTAGGATACTTGCCTGGCATGTAGCCAACCCTGGTTTGATTCCCCAGCAGCCCATATGGTCCCCTGAGCACTGCCAGGAGTAATTACTGAGTACAAACCCAGGAATAACCCTTAAGCACTGCCTGGTGTGGACCCCCTAAAAGAATTTTACTTCTTTCAGTGTGAATGAGACCTTTAAAATTTTATTCTGATTTTATTTTGAATAGTAAGGAAATGCTTTGTTCAACTGAACTAATACTTGGTCTCAAGTATATGACCTTGACACCCATCTACATGTTACATGTGATGGCAGGATGTAATGTAATGATGCTAACTAAAATTTTGACCCTCCTCCACTTCGCAAGACAGATTAGAGTATTATGATCCTTTCAAAGTCTTTCTTCTCAAGGTGGAAATGAAATCAAGGTTGGCTTGTGGGGGGTTAAGAAGAGAATAGTAATTTGAAATGTTTTATTATTAACTCTAATGGGCATTTTAGGGGGAGTTCAGAAAGGGATTATAATTTGAAATTTTTATTGCTAACTCTAACACGTATTTTAAGTTTACCTGTTGACGATTTTAGGTTTCAAAATTTGGTTACTTTGTAACCCTAATTTTTTCTCTCAGAGTAAAAATGGGATTACTTTCTACTGCAAAAATTTAAACAGATACTGTTTGTAGCTGACTTTTAGAATTTCTTATGGATTCCTAATAACTAGTAATTTTTGTATAGTATTTAAAAAATTATTGTCAGGGCTGGAGTGATAGCACATCAGGTAGGGCGTTTGCCTTGCATGCGACTGACCTGGGTTCGATTCCCATCATCCCATATAGACCCCCAAGCATTGCCAGGAATAATTCCTGAGTGTAAAGCCAGGAGTAACCCCTGAGCATCACTGGGTGTGACCCCCCAAAAAAATTATTGCCTATATTAAATACCTTTGTGGAATTATATTACTTCTTCCTGCTGCAGCTTATTTACTACTTAGGAATCATTGGGAATGAAGTAGTTTATAATGTTGACTAGTGATAATAGTGAATGTTGATATTTGTATTGTCAAAAATTAAATGCCTTACATTATGGGATTTAATTAAAATCAAAAGTTTATACCAAATATTGTCAAATTTAATGCTTAAGATATTAAATTTTCTAAAATTTTCTCACATTTGAGACATAGCACAGCGGGTAGGGCGTTTGCCTTGCACGCAGCCAACATGGCCAACCCGAGTTCGATTCCTCCGCCCCTCTCGGAGAGCCCGGCAAGCTACCGAGAGTATTCGATATGCCAGACACAGTAACAACAAAGTCTCCAATGGAGACGTTACTGGGCCTGCTCGAGCAAATCGACGATCAACGGGAGGGCCTTTACCTTTACCTTGAGACATATGTGTAGAATGCTTATCTTGACTCATTCTACCCATCACCTGTGCACCTTCATCCCCTGCCTTCATCTTAGTACAAATATTCAAACTGCCAAGGAGGTATGTGGATAAAGTAGCCTACACCGTGTTTTAAGTTGGTTATTTTGTGAGGGTTTTGAATGAAATTTATCAAAGTACTTTATACTGGGCAACCAGCTGTTTGCTGTTAGATTTCTTTATAATTTTTATGTTGTGTCTATCATTGATTTAGGGTTAGATTGCCTATGTAAGGGGGTCAATCTTTTAGAAAATGAAAGAAAATGGTTGTGGCAACTTATTTTTGTTTGGTTAATGTATATAGTCTTTATACATTCAGTTTGCAGAAAAGTTTCAGGAATTTAAAGAAGCTGCTCGACTAGCAAAGGAAAAATCACAAGAAAAGATGGAACTTACCAGTACACCTTCACAGGTGGGTGTTTAATTCAATTCTTTCTTATGAGCCTTGTTCATATCCGGTGGTATCCTTTTTTTTATGTCATAGTTAAATTTGGAGAAAAATGACATTTCCAAAGTGGACACAGAAGTACGCCCTTCAGTTAATTATGCTAGCAGAGAAAGCTGGTGGTGGTGCTTGTTGTTTCTTTATATATGCCAATGTCTATAAGGATCTCGGGACTGGGGAAATCAGTTTAGTAATTAAAACTCTGATTCTTTAATATACACCCAACTTTGAAACAGTTGTATACAGAGTGGGCTGGAGCGATAGCACAGCAGTAGGGCATTTGCCTTGCACCCAGCCAACATGGCGACCCGGGTTCGATTCCTCCGCCCCTCTCGGAGAGCCCGGCGAGCTACCGAGAATATCTCGCCCGCACGGCAGAACCTGGCAAGCTACCCGTGATGTATTCGATATGCCAAACACAGTAACAACTAATCTCCAATGGAGACGTTACTGGGCCCGCTCGAGCAAATTGATGAACAACAGGAGGACAGTGACAGTGACAGTGTACACAGAGTGTAGATTGGCCTGTTATGTTCTGATGATATTCAGGTACAGCCACAAGATAAGAGACAGGAGATACACAAGGAAACTGAATTATTATTTTCATACTTCCTATAGATAGACACAGTAGAGAACTCGGGGGCTCACAGGGCAGTCTCTGGGTGGTCAGAGGCAGATGCAAGAAATTGGGAGAACTGAGGGTAGAACCTGGAGTGGTGTCCATGGGAAGGGAAGACCGATGTAAACACTTAGGATCAGCTAGTTTGAATAATTTTCACAGACTCTTCCTAAAAGGGTGGTCCTAAGTTGCTTGATACCTAACTCTGTCTTGATGAAGGCAAGGAATATTGCCTCCTGGGGTGACTGGCCAGACAGAAGAGGAGTGGTGGACGATTAGTTGACAACAAAGAGGCATGCTCCCAATATAAGAGTTCTTAAGTCTGACATTTGGGGCATCTTACTTTATACTTAGTACCCAGAAATTATAACTTTTGTGAAAGCATCACTTTAAAAAAAGTTGTGTTCATTTTTTTTAAACAAATTGGTAGTATCTGTTACTTGCCCATCAGTCTTTCTTCAATTGGAAATTAATTGAAATTAATTATATTCTATTTCTAAGTTTATTAGAAGTCACATTTTAAAACTTTTCTTGAAAAGTTTTAATGTATATAGTATGATACATATAGAACAGTATTTTACTTGTTTTTTTATTTGGGGACCACACCTGGTTGTACTTGAGGCTTACTCCTGGCTCTGCACTCAGGGAACACTCCTGGCAGGGCTCGGGGAGCCACAGGGAAGACTTGGGATCAAATCTGCGTTGACTGTGTACAATGTAGGTGCCCTGTCCTTTTTCAGCTCTATTTTCTAGCTTTCTAATAAGACTTTTCTAAAACTTTTATTTCAGTCATCTTAAGACTAGAGTTCAGCTTTGTGCTTTGTTCCTTTTTTTTTTTCTTTTTGGGTCACACCCAGTGATGCACAGGGGGAACTCCTGGTTCTGTACTCAGGAATTACTTCTGGTGTTGCTCAGGGAACCATATGGGATGCTGGGAGTTGAACCTGGGTCGGCCGTTTTCAAGACAAATGCCCTGTTCATGCGCTGTGCTATCACTCCAGCCCCTGCTTTGTTCCTTTTTATAGTAAATTTTTTTGACATATACTCTGAGCTTTATGAAAAGGATGGATTAAAGGTGAGAAAGATAGTACGGAGGTTAAGGTTACCTTGCATCCTGTAGATCTTAGTTCAGATCACAGCACCACACATGGTCACCCAACCACACCCAGGAGCCACTCCTGAGCACAGGGCCAGCTCTAGCCCCTGAGCACTGTTGGGGGGGTGTCCCCAAAACTCAATCCCTACCTCAAAAAAAAAGAAAAGAAGACAAAGATTAGATGTTATGACTATCTCTTTCAATTAGTATCTTCAGTGGCACTTACTTGAAACTTTCTTTAGGAAGTAAATAGAAATTGCCCTGGAATTTCGTCAAATGATTGGCACATTTTAGAAAATGTTTGCTCTTACACTTCTTTTCCCATCTCTGACAACCACTCTCTTTGGTAAATCCAACTTTACAGTAAAGGGATGCTCTGTTAAGTATGCTTAAAGTAGGTTTTTCCTCATAGACTAAAGGCTTGTGTACTCTGGCTGAAGCCAAAGTGCTCTTATGCCTCCTCCTTACTTGCAGTGACCTAAAATAACAGGCTGTTTATTTTGGAACTTCCCTCTTGTCCTCAGTGCTTTGATACTGTACTGATATTTTTAGCATAAAAACAATTATTTCAACTTAAAAAGGGATGAAACTAGTAGGAATTTCAATTTCAGGCATTATTAGCATGAAGTGGGGTGTTCGACTTGTCTTCTCCACTGGGCATGGGCAGTGCTGCTGTCCTCCCTCTGTCCCCTCGCTCTCCTGCTGCTCCTGCTCTCAGACCAGCACAGAGTGCAAGGCAGCAGCATTTCTTTGTTTTGTTGTTGACTGTCTTGGCACTCCATAAGCGGCTAGGAAGAAAAAGTTCTTCGAAAGCATTTCCTGAATCTTACTATTCTTAATAGCAAGGTCATTTTCTATTGGGCTGGCTTCCTTGATACAGAGATTTTTCAATACAAAAAATATTTTTGTCTTATTTGACTATAATAATTTTCTTTTAGTGATTTGTTTTGGTAACTGGTGGGAGAAGTTTCCCAGAAACAAAATGAGGTGTGGGTGGTTTCAGTTTCTCAAATAAGGTTTTGTAAAAAAAAAGAAAAATTAAAGCTTACTAAATCTGTTTTATTCATATTTTATATTTTTTAAAAAATTTTTATCAACTTTGGTGCACATACTCATGCATATATATGTATATACACATACCCATATCACAAAGATTTTTGTGATTTATTTTCTTAAACATTTACTATAAAATTGCCATATTAGCCTAGCTATCTCTTTATAAAGAGAAATCCTTCATTTTCATCAACTTATAGTCTAATACATATGACTAAATTTTGCGTTTTAATGTTTGACTTATAGACACAAAATGTTGAAGTTTTGTAAATTGTAGGTGTTTGTAGGAAATAATTAAGTCGAATATTTTGGAAATCACATAAAATTTAGCTTAAAGTACCAAATGTTTGGAATATATTGAAAAACACTTTGAGATATGGTCAGGAGGAAATAGGGGATGGGATCCTGGCATTAACTGTGGTGGGCATAGTGAAGCAGCTCTGCACATGTAAAACGACAGTAAATAAATAGGCTTTTCTGATTTAAAAAGTTTCACAGTCCCATTTTTAGCACATGAAATTTCTGAAAGATATCATAGCATGCTTTCATTTAATGGTGTGGTGGAAGGGCAGGAAAATTTTCTTTTCCTCCTAGACGCTTATGTACTATTGGAACTTTTTTCATTCTCACAAGCAAATATTTTTTGTTTTTAAAAGTACTTTTAAAAACCATACTCTGGATGCTTTGTTTTCATTTAGATACAGTAATATAGGACAACTAAAGATGCCTTTTGTTAAATATAGTTAATGCTTAGCTTTCCTAATGCAAAGATTAATGCAGTGAGACACTGGAAGATAGATACCTCTATCCCTTTTTTTCATCCCTTCCTTTCTTACATTACCTCATAACAATCTTTGTAGCATTGATATTTTTGGCTGCTCTGTGACTTTTGCTTCAAAACCCTCATTTTATTCTAGAAGGGAGTAAGGACCAGAAACCTAACTACTCTCCTTTGTCCCTTTCTCTTTGAATGGTAATTACTTGTCTCTGGAACTCTTACCAACCAATTTCAGCAAATCCCTAAGTGAATCTTTTGTCACTAATGCTGGTTATGCCCTTTTAGATTAACAAAATAACTTTTCTCTTAACGCAACTTACTGTTTAGATTTGGCAGTCAGCCTTGAATTTTTTAGTTTTGTTTATCCTTTTTGAAGAATAATAGTTCTGATTCATTGATTTCGAAGACAATAACCTCATTTTTTGGGTTTGATTTTGGTTGCTTCAACTATTCCTGGCTAATTATGGTGTATCATTGATCTAGAAATCTCTTTGGACCTATTTTCTATAATTTCTTACTAATTCTATTAATAAGTTAGTATGATTTAACTCATTTTATAGAATAATTATGTTGCAACCCAACACTATACACTGTTGTGTACGGATTGTGAGAAAAAATAGGATTCAGCAAAAAAATTTAATAAGTCTGAAATTAAGGATGAAAAGGAAGTCCTACTAATTGAGAGTTAAGTAGTAAGTCATAAAGAAGTGATAATAGAATCAAAAAAGTATCCTTTTGATTTTTGATAGCTTCTATAATTTATATCATTATGATACTATTAAATTGCTTTATTATGAAATAAAATACAACAGCATAAAGTCAGAGGTTCCCCCCAGCTAAAATTTTCATTTAATTTTTTTCATGTTAGCATTTTTCGTATTTATTTCTAACATTCGTCTGTGTGCAGATTTTTAATGTTGGGTATGCAAGTTATTGTAATCTAGATATTCCTTTATATGCTTTTTTTTATTAAAAGCATCATCTCATATTATACATACTCTTGTTTAAATTTTATTTCATTTTCCAGAAGAATATAAACCTATTTGATAGTAAACTTTATTAGGAAAAATAATTTGGGGCTGGAGAGATAGTATAGCAGGTCAAAGGTTTGCCTTGCAAGTGGCCAACCTGGCTTTAATACCCAGCATCCCATATGGACCTCTGATTCTGCCAGGAGTGATCCTTGAGCACAGAGCCAGGAGCAACTCCTGAGCACTCCTGAGTATGCCCCCCCCCAAACTCAATTATAAATAAAAAGCAAATACTGAAAACATTAATATCATTATGTATAATATGTTACAGAGAAATTTCTGCTTGCTTTTGTAAATAACTACTTGAATTGAAAAGCCAGGCAGATTAAAAACATTAAAATTTAGAATTAATAATTCCCTAAGTCCAAATTAAATTCACTCCAAAATAAATTTTTTTCCTCAATTCTTTTGAATATTATGAAGCCAGTTCAGTTAGTTGCTTACATAAACTTCCCGATTTATCAGTTATTTAAAACTGTATTTGTAAATTATATTGTTTACATTTGTAATTATGTTGTTTCAGTTAGTTTTCTTATGAGTTACTATTAGAAATTACTACTTTTTCAAATTAGTTCACTTTTTTCTCTTCAAATTTTAAGTCTTTGACTCAGATTTTATGTGGTATACATGAGAGTTAGTTTTAACCTTGTTGATCTGTGGATTTTAGCAAAAATCTAATACTTTTTATCTCCCATCTCCTTCCTCCTCCACGTCTAAAAAAAAGGAATCAGCAGGTGGGGATCTTCAGTCTCCTTTAACACCAGAAAGTATCAATGGGACGGATGATGAAAGAACTCCCGACGTGACACAGAACTCAGAACCAAGGACTGAACCAACTCAGAATGCATTGCCATTTTCACATAGGTACAAATTCAATTCACCCATCATGATTAAGTAAGATGTGTAAATATGGAAACTTGTTTGGGTTCAGATAAATTTTGCAAAATTATAACCCTAAGTGAAAATTAGAGGTCAGTCATTTTTTATTTTATAAACTGCCTATTAACCATAAAAAGGGTTAAATTATTTATAGTTTCTAATATAGCTTAACTAGATTGGAGTATTTTTTTAATGTAGAAAAAAGGGCTACTAAGCTGATTATAATCCTGATTGTTTCTCAGTGAAACAATTTTTTTGGTAATTTTCTACTTTTCTACTTATTTCTTTTGTGGGGTGCAGGAGTGGGGAGGGGGAGAAACCCAGCAGGGCTCAGAACTTACTCCTGACAGGATTTGGAAGACCATATGTGGTGCTGGGAATTGAACCCGGGTAGGCTGCAAGGCAAGCACCCTACCCATCCTACTATTCTCTGGCCCTTCTACTTACTTCCTTATCTTAAATAACCCCCTTAGTTAAACCTGGTTTCTATTTTCATGTATATTCTTGAAGGCTATAAATTTTAAGTAGGCTTCTTACTCGGAAATTAAGCTTTAACATAGTCTTAGAGGTCATCTTACCATATGGTTTTATATTCGAAAACAATATTGGGGTATAACGTTGAACATAAATCCATTATTGTTAATCTCAGATTTATTTTGCAACCAATTTGGAGGAGGTAAATCTTCACATGCTTCTGAATTTTAAAAGAATTTGATGCATAAAATATTACTTTATATCCTAAATATGTTCCAAACCAGTTATGATAAAGTTATAGATCATACTGTGGTAGTTCTAAGATGTAAGGATGCCTATAAAATTGTATTATAAATATAAGCAAGTACCTATTAGTTATTTTCTTAAAATTTTCTTAAAGTTAATTTTCATTTTTCTTTGGGAACTTTTTAAATAGATAACTTATAATGAAGATTTCCTTTGTTGAACATTTTTTGGGGGAGGGACCAATTTTTAAAAAATCAAATTCTTTAGCATATTCAGAAGAATTGTGAACTCCAAATTCTTTTTCATGGTAAATATAATTTTCATTAAATTTGTTGGACTTTTGACACATAGAATTAAACATATTAGCACCTAACCTTGACCTAATGAGACTGAGGAAGTAAAAATTAGTTAAGGTTTTTTTAGGAATGAGTGGGGTGAAATATTTTTGACTATGAGGCTATTCTAATTTCCTCCTACAAAGCATAGTAATTTTGAATTGAAGAGCAGGCATCTTGGAATTCATGTGGAAATCATGCTTTAACTATTTCAGTATTTATAATCATGTTTATAATTGAGCTTTATAATTAAAAGAATTAAGGAACACAAAAAATTTTAGTACTTCTGATCTGAAGATCATAGATGCAGATCAAACAGGTTTTTCATATACGCAGTTTTAAGAGCAATGTGATTAATATAAAGCTTAAAAAAATATCTTGGAGAAAGAAAAATTTTCTTCCTCTTAAACTATACTTCCTGTTTACATTTCATAAAATAAACTTCAACAACTTCAAAGTTAACAAATTAAACTTGATTTCTTTGGATAAATTTAAATGAATCATGTGCATTAAATTTAGTAACATTAGAAATAAGAACTTAAGTTTTTACATTGTAAAGGCGTTTCCTAGTTTACTTCATACACCAAATTATTTTTAATATTGAAATCTAGAATCTAGAAATCTAGAAAATATTATAATCTTATAGTAATCAGTATTGACTGTTATTCACAAAGTTACTAGGCTAAAATAAAGATTTTTTTTTACCTGAGATAAGAGATTGAGTATTGTATAGCTAATGTTAGAACCCCAAAATACCATAGTTAGAAGAGATCCAGAATTTTCCAAACTCTGGAATTTGAAATCAACTTAATCGTGATAGTTTGAGCAGTGCAATATCATAGAACCAAATGGGAAATAGAGTGAACTAGTGAATCAAAACTTAACAAAAAAAATTTAGCCACACCTGACTTGAGGTGTTGGGGAGCAAACCCAGATTGGCCATGTGCAAGGCAAGCACCCTATCTGTTGTACTATCGTTCTGGCCTCTGAATCCAAACTTCTTCAGTAATTTACTTATTTATACATGCACTATATTACTGTGTAAAGCTGTCAGATTTTTAGAAAGCATACGAAACGTTGGCACATCAGACTTAATCCAAAAGGTTTAGGTGAGTTGTTCCGTTCTGTACATCAGTAACTACATTTTAGTCCAATCTTCGTAATAAGTCCTTTATTGGTATTGGGAAGTTAATAGCTTTGTCCCAGGAGGTCTATCAATGTTCACGAGTTAGGGGAAGAATATTAAAATATTATTAAAAGTAAAACAAGTGTTTAAAATGATACATAATGTTTTCATGGCAAAAGAATACAGTCGCAACCTGTTTTTAAAGTCTTATTTAGACAGCATTATCCTTTTCTCTTAGATTCAAAAAATTTTTTAGTTTTTAGCGTTGTGAGGACAACCATGGCTATACCTATTGAAGGCTAAGGTGTCATGAAGTGCTGGGTTTTGCACCCAAGGCAGAGAACCCACATGCATTTCATTGTGCCACTTAACTCCTGGTTGACTTTCCCTCAGTTATTAACAGGAAAAAAATGAACAGTAGCAAAATATTTTGCCAGCAACCTGCTGTTCTAGTTGAAATCATTTTACTGCCACATAGGAAATAAATCAGTAGAATCACAAAATATCTTGAAGTTTAAAAATTGGAAGAATATAGGTAACATTGCTTGTTAAATTCATGAAGAGTTGATTATTGCGATAACTGTTTAGTGATTTCTGCTCTTTGTTAAATTATTTTTTTTGTCTACATCAATGAATTTATTAATATTAACAAAAGAAAATTACTCTGAAAATTCTAGTATTGTGCTTGTCTTTACTTTCTGGTTAGCTTCCTTTTTTTAAAAAAGTATAATTTAGCTTAAAAGAGATAAAGCAAGAGTGTCTGTTAAATTTTAAACTTAAACAAATTTTCAAATATATGAAAGAGAGGAATAATATAATGAACTTTTAAAAACACATTGCCCAAATTCAGTTTAGGAGTCTTGTTTTATTTCTATCTTCACTCTTCCATTTTTATATTTTTATTTATGAAATCCCCAGATTTAATATAATCGACAAAAACTTTTTAAAATTGCATTTTAACTTGTAGAAAGCTTATTTACTAAGCTAGTATATAACTTTATATTCAAATTCACTGGTACAATAGGATTAGCTTTAATTATTACTGTTTTATATTTAATTATATTCTGAAATAAAATTTAAAATGTACTCAGTACTCCTTAGTTAAGTGCTATAGTACTTTTTTTAATTTTTAGTTTTATATTTTTATTTTTTAATTTTTATTAGTGAAACAGTACTGTTCTTATATTAAACTATGCAGAAACTTACTAAATTTTCTGTAAATTTCTATTTTTTCTTAAAAATAATTTTTAACCTAAATTATAATAGCCTTTTTTTGACTGAGAAGATATATATTCTGGCTAAAGTATTTAGGGAATCCTTCCATAGTTTCTTATTAGCTATATACACTAAACAAAGTAGCTTATAGAATGATAGGCAAGTATATACACTTGGGATAGGTATTCTTTCATCCCAGAGACGAATTGTTTGTTTCATAACATCATCTGTATGGAATTTGGGAACTTACCTGTTGCTTCGCTAAATTCTGAAATCTAAAAAGAAAAAATTGAAGCTCTCTGAAATTCTCATGGAAATAGTTATTTTTATAGTATTTTAGTGCTGTTAGAATGTAACATTGAACTACAGTATTCAAAACTGAAAATTGCTCTTATTCATTGTAAATTTATAATTCTCATATTAAGTAATATACTGATAAATAACTGCTATTATATTTCGAGCATTCAGAACAGGAGCATATACACAGACATTACAAGTCATGAAGTTATTTTTGTACTGTTTTAAAAGCAGTTTAAATACCTTAACAGATAATAGGCTCTTTGAAGCGCTAACTTTATTTAATTTCTTATAATATTTAGATACTGTATTTGTGTGGTGCTGTTAGAATATATGCATTTTGGGGGTACTGCATGTATCTTCTATTCTGTTAAAAAAAGTTTTTCTGCTAATTCATGTGTTTCTAACAGATACTCATTAAAGATTGTATGCAGAAAACTTACTCTTCAGTATGTTGATTTTGATCAAATTATAACTATGAATTTACCAGAAGTTAGGAAATCTGGGTGGATTCATTTTATTTGTATTTAGTAAACTGATTTCCTCATTCATTACTAGTTTTAGATTGCTACTATTCTAAAATCATAATTAAAGCTTTTTGCACTATTTCTAAAATTGACTCATTGAAATTTGTGCACACATATTTAGTTACAAATTAAAATGCAAGAAAGGAAAGTACTGGGCTTTTTAGGTGGATAGCTTAATAGGCTGAATGCATGGTTTGCATGTGCGAGTCCCCAGTTTGATTTCAGGCATAGCATGATCTTCTAGTACCATTTCATGTAATTCCAAAATAAAAACGAAATGAAAAAGTGCTTTATTTTAAATCATATGCAATTTGCACTTCCAGGATATTACAAACAGGAAAAGAGAGTAAGTGACTGTTAGTTGACTGGCATGCTATACTATGTGCAGATAAGCTTTTTGCCCCCCCCCTTTTTATGGATTATTTGCAAAGCATGTCAATGAACCAAAATTAAATAATATTTCTGAATAATTTTTTTGTTTGAACAGAAACTTTGTGTAAAGTTGAAACTTGAGTTTATAACTGTTTATCACAAATATATTTGCACCTGAAGATTTCAGGTACAAGCTTCTCCTTATTGTTAGTTAAAATAAACTTAAATATCATCATTTTTTTTGTTTTCTTTTTTGTTTGTTATCCTTTTGGGCTATATCAATCAAAGCTTATTCCTGCTCTGTGATCAGGGATCACTCCTGGAGAGCTCAGGGCCCATATGGAGTGTTGGGGATTGGACCCATGTCAGGCACAATTTAAGGCATACAGTTAA